GGGACCCATCCTGGGGCTGTTTTTGAAGAACTGCTCCACAGGGGAAGGACCCAGGCTGGAGCAGTTCACCAAGAGCTGCAGCATGTGGGAAAGATTCCTGTTGGAGAAGTATGTTGAGAGCTGTCTCCCATGAGAAGGACCTCACGCTGGAGCCGGGGCAGAGTGTAAGGAGTCTTCCCCCTGAGGAGGAAGGAGCGGCAGAGACAACAAGTGATGAACTGACTGCAGCCCCCATTCCCTGTCCCTCTACCGTGTTTGGTGGGAGAAGGTAGAGAAATCGGGGGTGAAGCTGAGCCCGGGAAGAAGCGAGAGGTAGGAGGAAGGTGTTTTAAGATGTAGATTTATTTCTCATTATCCTACTCTGATTTGATGGGTGATAAATTAAACTTCCTTTTCTCCCCAAGTTCAATCTGTTTTGTCCATGACAGTAACAGGGGGGTGATTTCTCCTTGTCCTTATGGCAACCCTCGAGCCTTTCATCATCTTTCTTCTCCCCTGTCCATTTGAGGAGGGGGAGTGATAGAGCAGTTTTGGTGGGCACCTGGCATTTATCCAGGCCAAACCAAAACACATGTGCTATCTCTTGTGCAGCTACATTCACACAATACTGTTTGTGATGGGTGCCTGCTCATCTGTTCTAAAATGTATCCCTCCACTTGTCCATCCATCCATTTCAAAAAAAAATTCTGATGCCTCTCTGTTTGTCCACATATGCATCCATTTGTCCCAAAATGGACCTCATTTGCCAATCTATCCACCCAGCTATGGATGGATGATACCCATGTATTGCTCATCCCAATACAGCCCCATCCATCCACCCATCCACCCATCCATCCACTCTTGCTTTCACACCTTCTTCCCTCCATCTCCCTTTGCTGTCCCTCAGTCCTCTTCAAAATTCTCCCGTGGAGGAGGCGGGGTGCACTTGTCCTTGGTGCAGAGATACTCCTGGTGACATCCCAGTGCTCATTAACAGAGTTTTCTGCATCCCTGGGTCTGCTCCACCTGTAAAGTGTGGATTTGGGTTTCCAGCTGTGTGTGAAGGACTGGAGAAATGACAAAGAATCTTCATCAGATACGAGCTGCCTGGTGGTTTCTGTGGATCTCCTCTTACAGGAGACCCTTCTTGTCTGCAGGTCTCCAGAAATGTTATGTCAGAGCTTTGGACTTCTAGGCAAATCCTACACTCGTGACAGTGAGCTGGGGATCATACAGCTGAGAGACATTTGGGGGATGGAGGATGTTCCCAGAGGGGGGCAAAGGAAGGAGGAGGATAGGCAGCTGAAGGGGGAAATATTTGGACTGGATCTTCCCACAGTGATGCAAGGATGGGAATAGTCAAGAGTTCAACATGAAACATGTGGGGAATGGAGATGTGGGGAAAAAGGGAAGCTGGGGAGTGGGGGGCAGACAGTGTTCTATGACAGGCTTACACTAGATCCTCAGTAACATTGGTCACCTAGTCCTGGTTTCCAGAGTTGGAATAGACACATACTTGAAGCAGCTCCAGGCAACCCCCTGGACATGTGTCGTTCATGTGTGCTGGTGGACAGCTTGCATCTACCCCAACAACAATAGCATCCTTTTTGCTGGGGAAGTGCCTCCACATACCCCTGTATGAAACGCCCCTGTGTAGTGCTGTGGTGGAGGTTGCTATCCATGATTATGTGGCCAATGTGGCTTTCGAACTCATCTACCAGAACAAGAGCCAGATCTCCAAAGAAGTCATCTTTGTCTTCCCCCTGGACTGTCCACACGGCAATCTACTCCTTCCGGGCCTGCAGTGAGGATGCCAAGGTCCAGGCCATGCTGCAGAATGGCATACCAGCATCCACGGACAAATGGGTGAACCACCACAGGGGCACAGCATGAGCAGCCCATGGTCTTCCTGATGATCAGCTTTCTGTCCCTCCCCCCCCCACCGAGACCCAGCAGCTGCACAAGGCTGCAGAGGGCTGGGAGAATCTGGGATACCTTCAGGATCACTCTCAGTATCCAGGTGAGGTGTTTGCCTGCTTCCTGGGCACCTTGTGAGGGGGTCCACGTCTCCCACACATATTTCCCATAAACAGACTCATGGACCTCTCCAGATGCCTTATTGACAACACCCAGATCTCTCCATATGTCCTATATATGGATGCCAAATCCGGCCTCCCCCACCCCTACAAGGAGAGCCTTTGCCCTTCCCAATGCCATGTTTCTCCTTGAAGTCTGGAATTGTCTCACTAGCACGCTGCCCTACAGCCTGCTGCTGACCGCTAGGCTGCAGTCACCCTGTGGAGTTGTCAATGTCCAGGCCAACTTCACCCTCACCCCTTTGATCTACACCGCCAAGGACTGCAGCACTGCACAGGTGTGCCCTCCTGAGTGCCAGGATCCCAGGAGAAGCTGGGGAGGGGTCTCACCATTGGGAAAAAGAGGTTGCACTGGGATCAGTTCCTGTGCTCCTGGCTAAACGCTGGGTCTGGTCCCCTCATCCTGTTTATGCCCAGGCACCCCTTCTCCAGGTCTCACTGCCCGGAAGCCCCCCAGGTCAGCATGATTTGCAGCTGCTGGTGTATTTTGGAGACCCCACTGCACTCAGTGCTGAGGTAGAGAAGGGAGACTCTGGGACCCCTCGAGGTGAGTGCAGCTGGGGAGAGAACATGGGGTCACCTCCGGGTTGCAGGAGGTATTGGGGCACTGGGAGACACTGAGGATTCTGGGAGGTGAGACATCATTGGACACTAAGATGGGAATGTGAGGCATTCAAGTGGGATAGTTGGGGCCCTGAGGCTCCAGGGTAGGGTACTGGGGACACTGTGGCGAGGTATCAGATACAGTAGGATGTGTGCATGGAGTTTTATGTTAGGGCTCACTGGGTAGCTCTGTTGGAGGCACTGGGTTTGATGACGTGGGGCACTGGGCTGTGCAATCAGTGGACAGTACAGTAGGATATTGAGGTACCAGTGTGGGGTGTCACAGGCTCTGTGATGGTGGAAGCTGAAAGCACAATGAGAATCAGAACCAGGAGGAGGAGAGGGGTCCCTATCTGGCCTTCATCCCACCCCATACCTCCTCCAGGCTCCCTGCTTGGTGACCCCACGGTGCTGGTGACACTGGTACCCAGTATCCCTGAGACAGTACCTAGGTGGCACCAGTCTGGAGAGTTCATCTTCCTCCCAGACACCACTTTCCTTGAGCATGCACAGGTACCCCTGCACAGAAAGGGCCAGGATGGGGTGGAGGAGCAGGCTGCAGGGGAGTGGGTCAGGGCAGGCATCTACAGATAGACAGAGGCATGAAGAGGGATTGGTGGGGCCTGAAATCATGCTGAAATATCTCAGGTTCCCAGGAGAGTTCAGGGCAGTGGGTCAGGTCATCCAGGGGAGTGCAGCATCTTTAGGAGGATCAGACTATGGTCAAAGACATCTGTACCCCCCAACAGTGTCTCCCAGGACCTGCCTGCTGTATCTTTCCACAGGAGTCCCTGCTCTTCCTTCTCAAAAGCCTGCCCATGGGCTGCTACTTCAACACCTACTGCAATGGAGAAACATCTGTGGGCATCTACCCGTGAGCAATCATGGGGCAGGCTGGGTGCTGTAGGTCTGGAATGTGTTCTGCTGGGGCAGGGTTAGATGCTGGAGGGCAGGTGTGCATGTTCTGAAATTTGCTGGTAGGTATGGCGCAAGGCAGGGTGCTGGAGGGCTTGGCTGACTACTGTAGGGCAGGGCTGGATTCTGGGCGTGGGATCTTTGTGGCATTACGGGATAGCACCTCATGGCATTCTGCTGAGCAGAGCCTTGTAGTAACTATGAAGCCAGGTCTCTTCAAGAACTACTATGGGGCAGGGTCTTGCAGAGGACCCTATGGCATAGCTGTGGGAAGTGCTACAGGGCAGAATCTCAGGGAGCACTAGCGCTGTCATTGAGCAATGTGCTCTCCAAACACACTGTGCTCCCTGCAGGCAAAGTATTGAACACACTCAGGATAACCTGACTGAGGCCATGTGGTGCATCCCCTCCACCAGCTCCAGTCTGGGTGACACCAATCTGCTGGGAACTCTCTGCTGAATCTACAACACTCCTCACCCCAAGGGCACGTGCGCCAGGTCTGGGTACAGGGCCATAGAGGGGTGGAGGGACAGGCGTCCCAGGGCGAGAGAGAGGACCACAGGAGTGCGGGTGGAAGGAGACACCCATACTACATGGTGGTCACAAGGGAACAAAAAGGATACTAAGGAGCGTGGGGAAACTGAGAAGCGGATCTACATTTTTGGAGGTTTCTGTCCCTCAGTGGCTCTCTCTCCCTGGGGTAGTCTCTCTAGAGGGTGTGTCTCTCCTGGGCCCCTCTCTCCTTTTCAGGGGCCTGCTCTCCCCATTTTGGGATTGCTGCACAGGGCCCCACCACTGCTGGCCCCAGTCTCCCAGCTCTTCATCTTCAGGGCCGGGCTACCCCCTGACAAGGCAGCCATTGCAGCTGAGGTCTGCCAGCACTCCAACAGCCACCAGTAATGGGGACTCCCTGCCCCCAGTCCTCTAGACACCATTTGGTTGTCCAGTCATTCCCAGCCCTGATGAGGGCCCCTGTTCACCAGTGCCCATCCCGATCCTTGGGCCCCTCCAGTGTCCCCAAGACCCGTTCCTCCCCGCACAGCTGTCCCATGTCAAGCGCCCATGTGGGAGTCTTTGCTTACTACTCCCATAACCAAGGCACCCTTCCCAGAGGGAGCAGGGAGACTGAGGCACAGGGCTTGTACACCCTGGTGTGCCCCCAAGCTCTGCCCCTGCCCCACTAGTCTGACTCCAGCTCTGCCCCGAGCCACAGCTCTACACTGCCAGCTTCCTGTCTAACCCCAGCTCCAACCCCAGTCCCTCACTCCCTACTCTTCCCCCTGCCCCCTTGTTTTGCACCCCAGTTTTGTTCCCCCAGCTTTGACTCCAGCCTGTGTTCTCCAGCTCTGTCCAAGTATCCCAGCACCTGGACCACCCACACACAATAGTCAAGATCCAGGTGCCCCAGGAACCCAGGCACTCAGGCTTCCCCTAACTCTACCCCACTGCCCCAACCCACTCAGAACCCAGGTGCCCGGGCTTCTGCCCCGCTATAACCCACAGTCCTGACTGCACTGAGGGGACCCAGCCGGTCCACATTCCACTGTCCCCCAGGGAACACCAACATCAGGGGCCATGGGCCGAGCCCTAGTGCAGCTGCGAACTGTGGTGTCCTGCCCTCTGTTTCCAGGTGTTTAAGTGCCTGAAGCAGGCCCCCAAGCCAGCAGCTGAGGGAGTCTCTCTGAGCTGGACCCTGCCCTGTGGTCTGGAGGTTGACGTACTGGGAGGCACCCCTCAGTCCATCTTTCAGGGTCAACACAGCCTCCTTTATGCCCTGATCCATGGACAGGCACAGGTGAGAGCTGGGACTACAGTCACCCCCACTTACCTCCCAGTAGCTTCCCAGTAACCACCTGCAGTTTTTTAGTAACTTCTCAATATCCCCCCATAACCATCTTCTGTTCCCAGTAACCTCCAGGAGGTTCCCCTGTATTTCCAGGATACGACGGTGGCCAAGGGTGTCAAGACCTTGCAGTACAGCCTCGATGGTCAGGATGTCACTCACACCATTGAATTCCCACTGTGCCCACAGGGAGATGGACGGTGAGAGCTTGTCCTAAGGGAAGATGCATGTATCCCCCTCATGTCTAACACGGACTCCAGCTGAGACAGGACTCTGTATTCTCTCCAGAGAAGGAGACTCCACAACCTCCCTGGGCAGCCTGTTCCAGTGCTCTGTGACCCTCAGAGGGAAGAAATTCTTCCTCACGTTCAGACAGAAATTCCTGTGCTTCAGTTTGTGCCCATTGTCCCTTGTCCTGTCGCTGGGCACTACTGAAAAGAGCTTGGCCCCATACACCTCACACCCACCCTTCAGATATTTGTAAGTATATATTAGGTCCCCTCACAGCCTTCTCTTCTTCAGGCTGAACAAGCCCAGCTCCCTCAGCCTTTCCTTCTAAGAGAGATGCTGCAGTCCCCCCATCATCTTTGTAGTCCTCTGCTGGACTCTCTCCAGTAGCTCCTCATCTTTCTTGAAGTGGGGAACCCACAACTGGACACAGTACTCCAGATGAGACCTCCCCAGAGCAGTGTAGAGGGGAAGGAGAACCTCCCTCGACCTGCTGGCCACACTC